TCTTGATTTCCTGTAATCACCCTTTGAGGGCCTTTCACATCGATAAATATACAGTTATCCATTAAAAAAATAAGTGGGTCAATCCAGAGACATCCATCCGTACGTTGTTGTACAATAGGCTCAAAGCAACACAACTTGGAGTATAAACTGCCATTTGTGAACAATAAAAACCAGGCCTGTAGCCCGCAGAAGACGGGGCACTAATGACATGTGACCCTACTGCTAACACATCAGAAAGCTATAGAGGGCCAGAATGTGCAATCAGCAGCAAGCTTTCTACCTATAAATCAAGAACTTCAGCTGTTTCCCCAAGCCAAAATGCCAAGCAACCTTATTTCTTTGGTATTGCAGGAGAATTAAGAAAAAGGACTTGTGCTGCCAAAGTTCACAGCTCCGAAAGATAAATGAGCTTTTACTATTGGAACTCGGTTTAATATTGTTTAAAGGTACCAAATACAAGTGCTGTGCCAAAGTGGGTCGGATTTCCTGCAGGTTAGGTGACCATTTCCTGGAATATGTTTTTCTTGGAAAGGCTGCGACCCCCAGGAGACCTAATTATCAACAGAATGCAATCCTGTTGAGACCAAGCAAGGGATACCCGAGAGTGCGAAAAAGAGAGCGAGAGAAAGAGACGGAACACAAAACAAGTGCTCTGAGCGCCTGATTAGACGGCCCACTGAGCGATGACAGTCCAGCGAGCCAATACAAAGTTGCTTTCCCTGCCAAGGAGGTCTTTTGCAGATCTTTCACAGCAAACAATTTACAATTAGGCTCCCCATGATCACTCAAAACCACATTAGCAGCAAGGGGTTTAATTATCGCTGTGTGCATGGGAGGGTTTTCTTTTTTCCTGAAGGCCTTTATAATAGGAATTTTCACTAACGTTGTGTGGGATATAGGCTCTGGCATGCATTTTCTGCTAATAAAAACAATAACTGTAATACAAACACAATTCTGGGGCTTGTTGGTTTAAATATCTTCACAGAACAAATAAAATAATTAAAACTTAAATAAATCATCAGCTTGGCGTGTACTGGCGATTCGGGGTTGTTTCATGGAGTTGTGGTCTCTTGGCAGACAGTTGCATACAGAAAGAACGTGATTGTACTGAAAGATTGCCAGGCGTAATATCTTGTTTCTAATAAAAGATACAAGGAAAATAAAAAATTGCCCTTTCCAAAATGCTTAAAGAACTCCTGCATAAGAGGTCATGGGTTCAAGATTTCATAAAGTATTCTCAAGCCCTCGGTTTACTAAAGTCATGGACTGCCAGCCTGTAACTCAAGATTTCCATCCCTGGCCCTTTTAAATAACAGATGTTGCCCATGTTTTGTACTTATGGCATAATGAGTAAGGTGTGACACAGCCAACCTACCTCTTTCCACTCAGCACCAGAAAATGACTAACATATAGAATCACCTCCTTTCAGTGACCTTACCTCTGCTCCAAAATCCTTGCCTCCTTCCTCAACCCCACACTAGTGGACTTTCAAGTTCTCCTTTTCCATTTCTACCAATCCCCCTCAATGCTTTGAAATGTTCGCCCCTACCTTAGTTAGTAAACTGGATAATGCCTCCTGCCCTTATATGTGGCTGGTCTGACTTGGCAACACTTGAGGTGCAACACTTCACCACTTCAATTATGTCCTCCAATCTGCTATTTTCAAACTACCTCCTCTAGTCTCACCGTGATTTCTCCTGTTACTTCTATTCTAACCAGTTCAGTACCCCAAAAGATTTGTTTGTACGCATGCTTTCAACGTTTCAGTTATGTCCATAAACGAATTACTTCAAAGTGGCGCTGCAGCATCAGAATACGTTTGTCTTTGGTAGAGCAGAAAGGATTAAAAGTTATGTCCATGTTGGAATACCAACCAACCTCCTGTCTTATAAATTAGGAAGTAAAGATGGCCATAAAATCGAAACTGTGGGTTGCCCTGTGGGCACCTGTGGCTTTCTTAGTAGCGGAACAGCGACTGCATCAATCAGTTCAATCGTCGATTTTCCACCCAGATCATTCAATTTTTTCAGGTGACGTTTTAGTGGGAAAAAAGGTAGTGGGGAGGCGGGGATACAATCATGTAGCTGTTATCCAACCTTCATCTAGGCTGAGCGTGCCTGATCAAGCATACTATCATGTAGCTGCTCCCCAACCTTCAACTAGGCTGAGCTTGCCTGAGCAAACACAACACTCTGAAGCCCATCTGGCTAACTGCACTTGACGCCACCCAAATGAAAGGGCTTGTCTCAATTCCCTTGCTCTAGTCCCATCACCATACAAGTGCAGCAACACGCTACATGAATTGAATTTGTTTTATTCCGGGTGGTTTAGTAAAAACCTGCCAAGACCCTTCTGCACTAACGCATTTCACCCAATGGAGGGGCTTACATCGATTAGAGCAGAAAGATCTTGGCGAGATTTGTCGAAACCACCTGGATGAATAAAGAGTACTGAAACACTGCATCCATGTTGTGTGCGGCTGCATTTTATATTGTTCTTATGAAAAGAGGGAAAAGTCGAATGTGTACACACTGGGAACACCACTATAATTTAAGAATAAAATACACTCACACTTATATAAAGTGATATTAAACCCTAATGTAAAAAAAAGCATATAGTGCCCATTTTTCTTTTTTTTTCCGCGGATGTTTTAATTTCCTCTTCAGAAAATGCTGTTTTCAGGTGACTCCGTCCCCTTACAGAATCCCATGGAGTCACCTTTGCGTACACACTCCCAGCTGGCACCATGGACGAGTCTCCTTACATCCATAGAAACAGCCTCACCAGTAAGCCATCCCCCCAATCCTCCCCTGCCTGCACTGTCCCTAGTACACTGCACAGTAACGCAATACTCAGGGCACGCGCTTCCCTGCTTGGAGCTTCCGGGAATCAGTGGTCTGCAACCTGGAGCCGGCAGCGGTGAAGAGCACAGAATCTAAGGGGGTTATTCACAAAAGGGTGAAGAGTTTGGAGAAGGCAGAGAAGTGAACAATCTAGGACAGAGGGGCCCACAATTTTTGTGTTAAGATCTACTTTTCAAATGACGAGCTACATGATATCTACCAACGAAAAAAAAAAAACTCCCTCGCTCTCTCTCCTGGCTGTCTCTCCTTGTTCATACGCCTGGCTGTCTCTCCTCTTTGTCCTGGCTGTCATTCCTCGTTCTTTCTCCTGGCTGTCTCTCTTTGCTCTCTTGGCTGTCTCTCCTTGCTCTCTCTTTCCTGGCTGTCTCTCCTCGCTCTCTCTCCCCTGGCTGTCTCTCCTCTCTCTTCTATCTATCTCTTCCCGCTCTCTCTCCTGGCTCACCTTGCTGTATTTTGCAACAGGCTGTGTAAACTAATATTCTTTGATGTAATACATAGCACTTCAACCACCATTATCCACCAGAAAGGTGTCAGGGAGCTTGGCTCAGCAGACTCAGGCTAATAGGTAATCATGTGTGCACAGCTAAATGAATATACCAAAATGGAATAAAGGGGCCGCCATTCACACCCTCCGTGATCTACCAGCATCACCTTTGAGAGCTAGTGGTAGGTCACAATCTACCTAATGGGCACCCCTGATCTAGGACAACATAGCTGAACTGGAAAGTGAGCTGAATTAGAGAATTTTTCCAAATCAGCTATTTTGGCCTAGATTGTTCCCTGCTCCTGCCTTCTCCAAACTCTTCACCCTTTAGTGAATAACCCTGTAAGTGTTTTTGCCCATATATACAGCAAAAATTTTACTGGGGGATGTTTAACTGCCTGCTTGGAAGGCATTCAATTAAAAAATGTTGTGTTTACTACTACTCAAGGTATAAATACTTTTGTATACTTATATACTTAATGTAAGTAAACCTATTTAATACCTGGTAGGGACACAGGCATCCTGTAAAATACCATGCTACCCGGCACTACTACAATGCTATTAAGCGATCTTCTGGGTCCTCTACTAACGCTTTTCTGAGTGACTTTACCTCTGCTGTTAAAACACAGATGGTTGCTCGCTTGGCACACTGGCCATTCAGTGAATGTCTAGTATTGTTATCACTGAATACTTGCCATTCTCCAATTGATTCATTGTTTTACTGGATCCCCATGACCTTATCGGGTATAAAATATGTAACATTACACTGGCCCAAGCTTAACCAATGTAAGTTGAAATAGTTATACCTGAATTCAGCTTTAAAAACAGAAATGGGTTTTAAAAGGAGCCTGCACTTGCAATGACCACCAATAACACCATAATGAGTGAATCCTGTAGAGTACAGCAGCGTGCTGTGTTGATGTGGAAAACCGCCGAATGTACCCTGCACAGACCCTCCAACTTCTATACATGTGTCCGATAGAGGATGCATTCTGGTGAATTCCTCACCTCATCAAGACTACAATACTGTGTGTCCACTGGAGATATTTCCCCTCATTTCCTGACCTGGTAACACCAAGGGTGCTGCTGATAGTTGAACTTCCTGTCTCTCGTGTTAGTGTCAATGGTTCGCCAGTGGATTCTCAAACAAAAACTCCAGAGATGGGAAGCAAGAAGTTCAATCCGTAGCCATACCCTTGAGTGTGACCAGGGCAGGAAGAAATGTAAGATCTCACCAAAGGGGACACAGACGTCAATAAAAATCTGACAAATAATCTAACAAATCTCCACTCTATCCAAAAAGTTATATTTTGGCTGGAGTTCCACTAAGTGAAAGACACATTTACTAATACATGAGTTGTATATATACAAAATAAAAAAATCGCAGACAAAGGCGGCAGGTTTCCATGATTAAAAAAAAACCTACATTTCATCATTTTTGCCAGCAGATGGAAAGATCCGCAGTCGCAGAAAGTAATGAGAAACACAGTTTTTATTACAGAATGTAAAGCCCGGAGCTGCTCACAAGCACATATAAACTTCTCCCGACACCAATTGGAATGATAGGGTCTCGCTGGGGATATTACAAGGGAACAGGTGTTAGTAACACCAGCCCCTCGCTGAACTGAAATTGATGTGTATAATACACTTACTATCGTCCCCGAGTTTGGAAGCGTGGTCGTTTATCAACTCTTCACCGACTTCAATGATGTGTTCGCTGTTCCTGTAGTTCTCCTCACGCCAAGTCTTCATCTTGTCACGCATTTCTGGAAAAGGCAATGTCAGATGTTGAGCATATTATATGGCAGCGTGGTCACAATGAACTATAGAAAATAAATTACAGCACGATTTATAGAGGTGCAGAGTTTTGTAAAATGTATTCTTAGATTATATCAAATCTAATTATAAGTAACAGAAAAACATATGTCTAGGATAATTAAGAATAATACATCTGAGACTGACAGCGATCACAATGTATCTATTACATTCATATTCTGGTCTTTTAGGGTAAATCTATGAATCTTTTCATGCGATTTTTTGTTCAGGAAAAAGAACAAAACAGTACTTATAAGTAATGTGAATGTGTTGGGCACAGTAGAAAACTGTTTAACATGCCTGGGATCCCATTCAAATAGCAGTTCTGGAATTGTGTGGACTTGCCCGGCTGTGTGGGACTTTTGGCAGAAAATGGTGGTCATGGTGTAACTGGAATATTGTTGCAACGGGACCATAATTTGTCCCTATTGGGTCTAGTGGAGAGCATGGCCCCTACGTTGGCAGCTAGAACTCTTGCACCATTTTGATCACACCACACCGGACAGCAGGCACAATGTGCCTTGCGATCCCGTGCAGGCGATCGCATTGCGGCCGGAGGGCACGGCTACAGTGCCATTCACTTCAATGGCCCGTCACGCCCCCTCCTGCCCCACAAAAAAGTGAGCCGGACGCAATTCGATGCAGTGCGTTCCGGCCAGAATCGGACCGGAACGCAGTGCATCTGGTGTGAACGTACCCTTAGAGCCGGCATGGGTCAGCTGCCTTGTCCCATGGTGGCTCTAATTATTGGTGTATGTTTTACTTTCCCCATACTTCTCCTTCAAAAGGTTCAGTTGAGCTTTAACCCTTTGACTAAAAATCCTCTTAGCATTGACAGAAGTGATGCAATCTGTGCCCAAGCGTTGCATCCTAGGAAGGTTACTTCAGTAGAGCATTGCTGGGAGATCTAATCTGTAATCTCATGAGACTAGGGCAACAACTAATCAACATAATCGATGATTGAAGAAGTTGTCAACTTTTTCAATCATCGATTAATCGGCTTCCGATTGGTTGGCCCTATTCACGGCTCCGCACGCCACACTTCCTCCCCACCTCACGCTTGCCGCTGCCAGGCCCGCCCGCATCCACCGCCACACCTCCTCACGCTCACTGCCCACCCACATCCTCGATTGGCACAGGGTCGCGGGGAGAAGAAGTAAGGAGGAGCAGGTGTGGGGGGATGACAGCTGCCGATAGACAGGCCCGATCTCAGAAACAAGTTGCTGGAAGACTGCTCAGGTAAGCCTGCACTTTCCCCACACATGGTGCTCTATAATGTATTGCTGGGATTTGTATTCCTCTTTAGCGGATGGTACATTGTGCTGTATATTATACAGAGGAATACAAATCCCATATATACACTGTATGTATTATGTATTGCTGGGATTTGTTGTATCCCTATATAGCGGGTGGTATTCTGCATTGCGTTGTATAGAGGACTACAAATCAAGGAATAATACATTATACAGTGTAATGCAGAATACCACCAGTTATAGAGAAGTACAACAAATCCCAGCAATAATACATTATACAGTGGTGCAATGCCAAATACCACCAGCTATAGGAGGACTACAAAACCTAGCAATAGTACAGCGTAATGCAGAATACCCCCAGCTATAATGTACTATTGCTGGGTTTTGTAGTCCTCTATAGCTGGTGGTATTCTGCATTGTGCTGTATAGAGGACCACAAAACAATACAATAGTACATTATACAGCGCAATGCAGAATACCGCCAGCTATAGAGGACTACAAAGCCCAGCAATAGTACATTATACAGCGCAATGCAGAATACCGCCAGCTATAATGTACTATTTCTGGGATTTGTTGTATTTCTCCTATAGCCGGTGCCATTCTGCATTCCTTTTTGTATAATTTTACACTTTCCATTTCACTATATTGCACACCACACTTTTTTTTTAATAATAAAAAAAAAAAAAAAAGGGACAGCAATTTTCTAGAATTATGCATTTGTAGAATGTCGTTACTAAACATATCTAAAAAGGTGCGTTTGTTGTTTATTTTGAAGATATGGGTAAAAGTTCCTCTTTAAGGTCCTTTGCTTCACGCTGTAACGAACGCCGAGATGAATGCACAAAAGCCTATTTCTTCCATGAAATCAATGGAAAAAGCCACAAAGGATAAAATGAATTCATTGCACGTTGCATAGCATGATGAGAGGTAAGATTAGCGAGACACCGAGAATCCATCTAAAATATGACCCAGCAGAGAGAAAATGATTTTCCATGTGTACATATAACATCAGACTAGCAAACCCGACAAGGACTTCACTTGCCAGGAGCAATCTCATATCTCTCATAAACCTGTCAGTGTTTTTACACATAGTTTTTAAACCTGACCAAAAACCACTCTTGGGTAGTATTTCCTACAAAGCCGGCTAAGAACAAGCACTTCTCCACAGACAGACCCCTGGAAACTTCAACCGAGAAGTGTGAGTATCAGTGAGCGTCAATACATCTAAAAATCTGGCAAGGGTCAAAGGCATAGAAAAATGACAAGCGAGCCAACTTTCCCTACCTACCGATAACTTGGCGCTCGCGGACATCCCCACACCAGTGTAAACTATCGCAGGAGGAGGATATGCTTTCACGCGGCTAGGTTCGCTTCTAACATTTGTCACCCAAATGTGGAATTAGCCATTCTGCTAATTCCGGAAAACAGACTTTTATAAGTATTATTTCTCCCAGGAATAGTGATGTTCTAACACATAGCTCTCCGACACTTTATACTGGGCACTGTACTTTACAGAGTGTTTGTCTTATGAAACATCTGTATTGGAGAAGTTAAATCGAGGTGTTAGCTGAAAGTTTTATATAATAAAAGGGTCTAATGAGTCAGTGCATAAACTTTGTTAGATTTGGTTTTTGTTGCTTTTTAACAGATACACTTTGTCCACCATTACACATTGTACCACTAAAACAAGGCAGCTTAGCTTAATGCACACTAACGTTAAATAAATTTGCAGTATGTATGTAAAAAAAAGGAAAACATTTATAAAAAAAATAAACAATAGTAAGATAAAAAATTATAACAAATAAAAAAAAAGTAAAACGATAAGATAAATAAAAAAAAATTAAAAAAAAAAGTGATAATAAAAAAAAGGGAAAAAAAACAATAAAAGAAAACTAACCCTGTCGCCCCTGCCATTCTCCATTGATGGGGTGGAAGAGGGGGGTTGGCGGGGGGTGGGGAGCATTGTGGAATCCGGACTTGGGGCGGCAGGAAGAGTAAATCCGGCCCTGGCCATACACATACCTTGTTCTTGCAGTCTTCTCTTCCTTAGCAGGGGGGAGGGGGCTGTGATTTGCATATGAATGAGCCACGATATTAACATATGAATGGGTCGCAGCTTATTGATATGCACATTACCGTGACCCATTCATATGCTAATATCTCGGCAGGACAGTGTAGGAACAGGAACAGCAAGCTTCGGAGAGAGCAGAGAGAGCTGTGGGCAGGGCTCTGACTATAGGAAACTGAAGATCAGAGCCCCGTCGATTGTGCTGCTCCTGTGTATGGGAGGGAGGCGCTGTTTATCCGCCCTCCCCCACCAGCGCCCTCAAGCGGCCGCTTGTGTTGACTATGTGGTAGCGTCGGCCCTGTATGTATGGACCGTATTTTACGATGGGTGCATGTAAACCTTTGCACTGTATTGTAGCCTGTTGTCTAGCATCGTTGATTGGTTCATACCGCTTAGTGTTCTTCATTGCTAGGTTTCATGTGGCTCCTTGCCGCCTAGGATCCTTCATTGCTAGGTCGCATGATGCTCCTTGCCGCCTAGCATCCTTCACTGCTAGGCTGCATGTGGCTCCTTGCCGCCTAGCATCCTTCATTGCTAGGTCGCATCTGGCTCCTTGCCGCCTAGCATCCTATATTGCTAGGCTGCATGTGGCTCCTTGCCGCCTTGCATCCTTCATTGTTAGGCTGCATGTGGCTCCTTGCCGCCTAGCATCCTTCATTTCTAGGTTTCATGTGGCTCCTTGCTGCCTAGCATCCTTCATTGCTAGGCTGCATGTGGCTCCTTGCTGCCTAGCATCCTTCATTGCTAGGGTGCATGTAGCTCCTTACCGCCTAGCACGCTTCATTGATAGGTCGCGCGTGGCTCCTTGCCACCTAGCATCCTTCATTGCTAGGTTGTAGGAGGCTCCTTGCTGCCTAGTGACCTTTGTTGCTAGGGCAAATGCCTGCTTTCAGTGTTGGAGAAGCAGAGAAACAACCCCAGAGCATAATGTTTCCACCTCCGTGCTTGACGGTAGGGATGGTGCTCTTAGGGTCATAGCCAGCATTTTTCTTCCTCCAAACATGGCGAGTCGAGTTAATGCCAAAGAGCTCAATTTCGGTCTCATCTGACCACAGCACTTTCTCCTAATCCTTCTCTGAATCATTTTAGATGTTTATTGGTAAACTTCAGACGGGCCTGTACATGTGCCTTCTTGAGGAGGGGGACCTTGCGGGCGCTGCAGGATCTCAACCCATCGCAGTGTATTGTGTTACCAATGGTTTGTTTAGTGACTGTGGTCCCAACTGCCTTGAGATCATTCCCAAGCTCCTCCCGTGTAGTTTTGGCCTGATCCCTCACTTTTTTCATGATCATTCTTACCCTATGAGGTGAAATCTTGCATGGAGCTCCAGACTGAGGGCGATTGATGGTTATTTTGTATTGCTTCCATTTGCGAATAAATCGCTTCAACAGTTGTTTCCTTCTCACCAAGCTTCTTCCTGATAGTCTTTTAGCCCATTCCAGCCTTGTGCAGGTCTACAATCTTGTCCCTAACATCCTTTGACAGCTCTTTGGTCTTCCCCCATGGTGGTGAGGTTTGAATGGAAGAAAGAGATTCTGTGGACACGCGTCTTTTATATACATAACGAGTTGTCGTTAGGAGCACCTTCTTAAATTGACAGGACTAATCTGTGTACCACATAGCCAGTCT